AGTAAAATGAAGTCAGAGGCTCCATATAAGAGAATGTAGTAATAAAGAATAATGAGTTGTGATGCTTAACAAGTTGGAGTAAGCTCACATGAAGGAAGGGTAGTCAAGGTTGGTACAAGGAAAGCGGTTTATTAGAAGGGAGTGTGGATATAAAAGGTGAAGTGTTAAGAATACTTATAACTATATCTTTTATTGTCTCAGTTTTTCTTTCTTTCGTTCATTCGATGCCAGCCACACAATCCCAGCGTAAAAGTTCGAGTTAGCAAGTTATAGGTTGTCTTAGTAGAATTGCTAATCCAGCACAAAATTGGAAACGTGAGTCCGAGTGGTGAGCGTAAGAAGACAATCTATATCACAGATTGATTGACTTATTCTCAATCATAAAGAGCGTGATACATACAAGATGTTCTGCCCCACAGCACGGATGGATTGAAGTCATCGCCCTAACCATCAATGCTTGCTTGTGATGTTAGGTTCATTTAAGCTTATTTTTGGATATATGTCATATCTCACACAATCCTCTGTGTTTCACATCCTGTTGGAAAACACTATTTCTATAAGTACCTTTTCACAAGCTATCAGGAAGTTACAAGCTATGAACTGTGGGAAGGCATAGATGTAGTGCTTTAATTGACTATATTATAAAGTATAGTTTGTCAGTCAGAGTATAAGCATTAAGAAGGGTATAATCTGGGATAGTTGTTTATTAAAGCAGACGGAAAAGTATAGAATTATATGAGTTGTAGATGAGGTGACGAGTGGAGAAATAATATTAATTGCTAGTCAACATAGTGTACAGAAGACTAAAAAGCTAATAAAGAATAAATAGGAAAAAAACTCACGTTAACTTGGTGCTGGTGTTATTTTGTGTTGTCATAACCAGTTGATGAGTAACAGGCCCTATAGATGCAAGACCACTGGTAGTAGGCAGTCGATTGTGCGGTCCTCTTGACTTTTCAGGGTGGTAGTGAGGGTGCCTTGGCGACCGAGTTTAGTTGAACAGTATCGATAGGTCCAGTGAGTTACCTGTCTACTTCAAGTGAAGAAGTAGGTGTTATAACTTGTGACTGCAGACCGGATGGCAGCGAATAATCGATCGGACTAAAGACGCGTAAAACACGTGAGAACAACCTAGAGGTCTCGCTTCCCTGTCTAGTCCAGCCAGTTGAGTCCAGAACAAATATCTCAGCCTCTGCAATACGAATCATTTTATTTCAAACATACTCTGTTTATATACCAATCAAGCAGACCACAACGTACCATAAAATAGAAAATAACACTTGTACAACAGGACAACAGGAAAATGACACGTGAAATAAATATTGACCAGTAGGGAAACGACACGTGAAACAAGTATTGAACAATATGAAAATGATACCATCCCAAGTCGAAGGATAGCAATAGACTTGACAGAATAATTTTTGGGATATTTTTCTGAATATCCCAACAGTATGGTGGAAAAAGTAACTAATATAACTGCAAAGTAATAAAAATAAGGCAAACTGAACTTGAAGTCCATTTTGGTCTAGACATCTAAAGAGCTTATGATGTCCGAGTGAAGCGCAGATGTGTTCGTACGTGCTAGATGAGGGCACGTGGGGGCTTGATCAAGCAGTTTTACAAACGTATGCAATTCATCTGCCATGCGTATTTCGGAGGGAAAACTGTTAAATATTATTGCATGCTTGATGAGGATGAAGTTTGCCCGAGTTTTTGATATGTGTTTCTCAACTTTGACCGTAGATACCTTGTTTCGAAGTTCGTATTCATGTGAATCTCGGGCAAGAACTATATTACATGTTGAATAAGTTAGGTTTTTGAGTAGTTTGAGGTAGATAATCAAATGAGACCTAGCCCTTCTTTTCCAAAGGGTTCTATTCCTAAGATTTGGCATCGGGCACTGTTGTCAACGACCGATTCAGGTCTAAGCATTTTGCGGGTGAAGTCTCGTTGTATTCTTTCCACCTTTAGTATATCAGAAAGGCGTAGGTTGGAAAATAAGAACTTGCATTATTCAATGATAGGTCTTACATGAACTTTATAAAGAAGGATTTTAGATTCATTTTGACAGAAATTACGGAGAATGAAGTCAAGCTATTTCCGCATTTTAGATGCTTTGGCTGAGATGTGTGAGTAATGTACTGGTGCCAGTCTGGGTAGTGTGTTGTTGTTAAGTGTTAGTTTTATTTTAAGAGACGTGTCTCCTATACATAATCATAAAATTTATTTTAAAACCAAAAGTAGCGTGTGTTTCGGTTTGTTAACTATTCATAACCGTTACCAATTAATACATACAAACAATAGATATTTCACATGAGTCTGATTACATCTAGAGCGTCACAGGGAAATGAAAGATATGTTCCTTGTTTTGTGATGGTAAATATTACCAAATATACATGTCATTATAAATCATATTCTCAAACGGTATATCTTGTTTCAATGTTCCTATTATAAACGGACCTTGTAAGATATCAGTCCAAATGAGTAACTTATTATGGAGAATCACATAGAGTTTGTGATGAGGCAACAATTTGTGGACGACATTTGAGAAATACTGAAGTGACTTTGAGACGACATATCCATTTGCTATGGTCAAATAAGTTTTATAAATTGGTATGATTAATCTAGATTACGATTTAATGTTAGAACTTGGTGTTAGGAATAAAAGTAAAGGTTTTCAGCACTAATTGATATCGGAAATGATGCCGAAATACCATTTAGCTGCATGAATGAATGGAGTTTGCACCAAAATTCATGACTCGGTATCCTTAATTCCACAAATCCATAAACTGTAGTTTAGCCGTTGTGAATATTACCGTCAATTTGAAGACTGAATATTTATTCTATTATTAGATTTATTTAAATCACATCCGAAAACCACTTTAACAATGCAAAGGCGATCACGTCATTATGCACAAGCTGGTTATCCTCATACCACTATTTCTTTATTATTGGCTACACTGCTTAGCGTGGTGATCTCACATTCTGTAATCCTAGGCACATTACCGGAAAATTGGAAGCCGGCTCACGTCACACCAGTTTTCAAAAGAGGTCGATGTGGTGAACTTTCAAGCTACCTATCGGTAGCATTACTCTCCAAACCCTCAGAAATGATGGAGTCCCTGACATGTGGCGGTCTACACGACTAATTACTATCCACAAACTTCTTTTCACCACAACAGTACGGTTTCACAAAAAGTCGTTCTTGTATAACCAACTTTCTGACCATGGTGGACAGATCGACAACCATCCTTGGTCGCAAGCTTTTGATGGGGTTAACCATATATGTCGTATCAATAAGCCCAAATGATCAGGTATCAAAACACCTTTAATTGATTGGCTCACTTCACACCTAAGAAGTCGAATTTTAAAGGTCAGTATTAATTTCGCTTTCCCTCAGGCTATGGAATGTTCTATTGGAGTCTCCCAGGGTTCAGTACTTGGACCTCTTCTTTTCTTAGGTTACAGAATATAGGTGTCGTTGGATTTATAACTTTTCACTTGATGCGGACGCTTGGAGAGAATATTGCAACCAAGAGGATAAACTTGCATTTAAAGAAGAACTGACTCGACTTCAAAGTTGGGCAGACGATAACGGACTTACCTTCGACACTTCAAAGTGTAAAGTAGTCCATCTGAGATATTTTGCAGACTACGAATAAACTTAGGTGACTCCCCCATAGGGGTATCTCAAGTTGAAAAAGATCTCGGAGTGTTGGTGCTCTTAGATCTGAAGTCTTACGATAACTACGACAAAAATGCCTTCCGAGGATAACTTGCACTGGTGACCTTGAGGAGCATTTTCGGTCAGTTCGACGGGAGAACGTTCCACAAAATCGTCAGCAGTTTTATTTGTCACCATTTAGAGTACAGAAGCACAATATTTCCTTCCTCACTCCAAAATGATAAGGACACACTGGAACGCACCCAACGGCGAGCCACGAAGTTAGTTCGAAGCTCGAAGTCAAGCCCTATGAGGAGCGCCTTCAATCACTGAAACCTTACCCATTAGAGTACAGGCGTCTTAGAGCTGACCTTCTGATAACCTACAACATCCTAAATGCTCCTGGTTATCCCTTTGAACACCTGCTTAAGGTTAGTCCCAAAACAAACATTAGGGGTAACACTCTGAATGTGGAGACAACACAGCAGAACTGGCTGTACACACACCATCTATTCCTTAAGAGTAGTCAAGTATTAAAATTCGCTGCCATCTGAGCTAGTGAAGATGACTTTAAGAGAAATGTGACATGTTCTTAAGGACTAAGGACAGTAGATCACTATGATTTACCAACTTCTTCCCTTTTCCTCTTTTATCGTCAATATATCTAGATTCCTACCTGTAGACATCGGTGATCTACTGCTACCAGATGCATAAGACTGCACAGCGGAAGCTTTTTCTATTCCGTACAGAACCATATGAACCGTTTTATCCATTACTTTTAGGTGGAATGTTGTAACTTAACATTTCAACTTTGGTATTAATTCACTTCATCAGAGGCATCTCTGTTCGCTCCAGTTTCTCTTTATTGTCAAGAAAACTCACTCCCTTGTTTATAAATACGCGTTCGAGTGTATAAAAAAGCACCTTTTGGATAACATACGTTTCTATCCAAATACACTAGGTAAGTTTTATCAGGTAACGGGGAAATAGATATTTCTTTGATTACTCACTTACTCATGAGCAATAATTCACTACGTATACTTTACCTCACATGGTTAAACTTAATAAATTCTCATGTTAATTTACTTATGATGTTTCGAATTGAAGCTCTGGTGTATTTTATTGGTTCTTTGTTAAAGTTGTGGCGGGAAATAAAAGTGTTTACGTGTCTTTGAAAGTTAGTTTTGTGTGACTGTATTCACCCACACAAAGCACATGTGTTAGTTTTACCCATTCAGAAAATAAACACAAAACCCTCTTAAAAAGATATGTGTGACTAAATTACAAACTTAGGCCTAGTTATTAATATTTTAAGATTTGTTCTCTTGGCAGCTAAATGGCATCGCCTCTGCCTCCAGTCGATATTGAACAGCAGAACATTATCGATAAATTGGCTGAATTTGTGGCCAGAAATGGGCCAGAATTCGAAGCACTAACAAGTGAAAAACAGAGGGACAACCCAAAGTTCGCATTTCTTCGAGGTGGCCAGTTCCATGAATATTATATGTTTAGAGTTAACGAAGCTCGTAAAATTTGGCAGCAGCAGTATTCAACGAAAAATAAATCGCATCAGGTTGGAGTAATACTTTTTGATAATTTTATACCAGGGTTTATATGGTTTGTAATACATATACGTAGTCAGGGGGATTGTTTTGTGTGCGGTAGATTTGTCATTTTCACGAAAGTATCTGTCATAGGATCAGGCTTAAGCATTCGCTTTTTTTTCCGGTGCTATATTCGGAATTGTACGTCACTGACAGTTCAGGGCCGACTTTATGTACCGAAACCAAGTAGTTATGGTTAGATAACATATTATCCACAAAGACCGCTGAACCCAACTTCTGGTTTTTTATTTTCACAACTAATCCCAAAGCATCAAGTCTGCAAAATGGCTCGTAATGTTGACTTGGTTATTTGCTTTTAGCTTGCATATCAAAGAATAATTTGACAGGAACACTAGATAGACTAATACAATTACCAATAAAATTAAAGTTACTAAGTAAATAAATGTGTATTTGTTAGCGTGAAAGTGGTTAAATTCGTTGTATCTATACACAATAACTATTGCGAATTACAGTACTTGAAATTTGAAGGCCAATTCATGTCTCTAAAGCCACGTTCACTCCCTGGTTACACTTTTATTAGACTCCAAACTTTACATCCACTAAGGAGTAAATAAATAGAAGCTTCGTAAGGCCATATACAAAAATTATGATAAGGGAGATTCAGGGGCGAAATATACATGTGATAATGGTTCCTACTTTAACTAAAGGATGGAAAAATTAAAAATGATAGAACAATCAACCGCATTAATAAGTTACTCATTACTTATACCAAAGTGAAGAGTATGTGCATCTCGATAATTGCGTCTAATTGTGGGCCATATTTCTTAAAGTCCTTGTATATGACCCGAGTTTAAGCACCAGAGTTTCAAGATTTCTGTCACCGGCTTCAACCCTACTCTGCCTACTTTGGTTTTAACATTAGTAATATATCTGATCTCCATAGAACGTATCTAAAAACTATGCAATTAAGTCCGGGTTTGTCTTTCGAGCTCTAACGTGTTGTTTAGTTTAATTAATCAATTTTTCGACCATCGACTTTTCATAAACACCAACAGAAATTGTAGGTCCATAATACGGCTCAGATGAACGGGTGAAACTCTACTTTATGGACGACCTTTGAACGAATTTTTAAGTGACCTTGAGGACATTAGCCAATCAGAAGAGAGTTAGTATGAAGTGAAAATATATAATAAAAAAGTGATGAATTACAATGGATATTCTTCTTTTACATTATTTAAGAACTTGTTGAGGTTTGATATAGGTTCAGAAGTTTTGAAATCATAGTGCATGCGGTATAAGAACTCGTCCATATGACTCCATAATAATCGTCCTCTGGAGCCGTGGTAGGGTCTTAAAAAATACTTCAGCCTAGACCACATGCCCTCAATGTTGTTTGTATGGACCCCCGTCGTTGGATCAAAGAAATGACGTTTGTGCACCACCACATGATGCACAAAACCAAGTCTCGAGAGGCATCTATACGCTTTCCAATCATCGGTATAGCCGCAGCTAATGTTACTGGAGACTTTATGATCCAATTTGCAACGATTATCATGGTTTGTCTTAGCCTTAGCCGTGACCGGGCAAAAAAAGTGCCAGTTCGAGCAGATTTTTTTCTACAACATATAGTACAACGAAATACAATGTCATCGCGACAGTCTGCACACCGTGCTGCGGTCATTTAATTGCCGCAGTCACAGACACAGGAACTTCTTAATAGTCCCATCTGCTGTAGTCTCTCAACGATCACCTATTCTCTAAAATCTGCTGTAAAACGATCGAATGTGAGCATCTCGCACTGAACTTAGCGCCGTGACCTTGAAATTCCCTAAACGCTTCTGATTGGCTCGTCCATAAATTAGAGTCCTACCGATGAACGATCTAATAAATCGGTACTTTCACTCAATCAGTAACTGTATATTTTTGTCCGTTTGGTAGAGTACACTCATCTGTCTTCAATTTAAAGACTTTTCTCTCGTAAACAGTAATTTGGAACACTTTTTCTAGAAATCACACAACGACTATGATTGTCATAGGTCATCCCCAACGATATTAAGGCTTGGTTGTTATGCCCTATTCTTGCCGTCATAGAAGAAATAGGGCATGATACTAATTTCTACTTGGAAGGTAGTTCTTGCGAGCCAGCTGGTCGCCCGAACGAGTCATAGTTCAGACTGCTAAACAGTAAGATTTCTGACAGCAATATTGAGGCGTTTAACAGCATTGTTTTTAAGGTAATAAATATCGGTTGTGGAAAACTATCAATTAAATTTCTAGCTATATCCATATTAGATTTAACGGTTTATATAAACTCATATGTAGGCAGATAGACTCCAGTGTTTAATTCCACATTAAGTGCCTTACAGCAGTTCATATAAAAGCAACAAATAGTAATAGTGAATGACGATTATATTTGTTGAGGGGTAAATAAATTACAATAATAAATTCAGCAGTCTTGTACTTCGTGTCTTTACAGTTACTCATAAATATAAAGCTAAATAACCATGGTTTTGTAGTGTGGCATCGAGTTGCGGTTGACTATGATCACCACTACAAGGTTGCGTACCAGATATCAGAAGGCGATTGGAGGTTGTAGCGAGATATATTTGTCGGCGATCTCGTGGTATCGAAAGAATACCGAGATCGTGCCAAAAGAGTACAAGCGGAATCACTGAGCAAACGTAAGCGCGTGCAAGGTCTCAATCAACAGAAGGAAGAATGTCTTTAGTACAGTCAAACAAACAAGTACAGTAAAACAATCACTGGTACAATTGGTTATAATAATAATTGTTTCCATTAAACCAATCTCGTTCTCTTGATAAAAGTAGGTCATTATAGTTTAATGGAGAAACACATGTTAAATGATCTAAATAACTTTGTTCTGAAGAGGCAGCTTACGCTAAGTTGCGAGGCGTTAAAAATTTGATTTTCTACTCATCAAGATATTACATGTATATCAACAGTTTCACTAATAACAACCCATTCGATTCACAGTTTATTTGGGATTATCAGGTCAAACGTTGGTTATGATACCTGCGAATGTATTCTTAGTTCTGAAGTCTGTATGTAAATGTATTTCGATTGTCCCTCGGCTATTGTATGAGTGAATATTCGCCTTTATTAATTAAATTCACACATCCTTCTTGAATGTCTTTTGTACACTTAGTTTGTTTCCTTTATCAGCGACATTTGTATTTTCTGGTCTACTACCGATACCTTTCAGCTACTAAATGATTTTGCTTCATTTTTCAAGTTAATCAAAATTTCTTTTTTCTTCAATGTATATGAATAGAAAACCAATGACCTTAAAGCGTGTGTTCTTAAGAACTTTAACTAATTACGTACCACATTTATTAACACTCTGACGTTATAAATGCATGTATTCGCCGGTAGGGGTGTGGTCATGCGTAATAATAGATCCAGAAAGACCAGTTGGTATTTAGTTCCGATTGATTACAATGTCTGTCGTTGTTAGCTTGGCTTAACGGCTTATTCTATCTTTCTGTTAAGATTCTCGATTCCAGATCCAACTGGGTCAATATGAATGAACAATGGGATCAGTATGGTGGAAATCCAGATCATTGGCAGCGTTATAGTTCCGCACCACCAGGGCATTGCGGATGGGGTGGTCCAGATCCATCATGGTATCCAAAGCCACAATGGCCACATTTTCAACAGGGTGTACGAATGCATAGCGGTCAACCTGAATATCCATACCATCCTCCTTCGGAAGCGGTAGATTCTTATCGTCATGGAAATTATAATAATCATCCTCCATATGGTTACCCTGGACACCATGGAGCATTCCCGATTCAGCAGTTTTCGTTTGGACCTGAGACTTATCGTGCACCGAGACCTCATTATGATTACCAAGTTCCTGGTGGTTCTGAACTAGGAGAAGCTGATATCGAACAAAGTGAGAAAAATTTGGCTGCTCAGCATGAGTCGTTGCTTGCTCGTCAAAACGTTGAAATTCTCGAGCTCTTAGACAAAAAGAGAGAGGAAAATGTTAGGAAAACTGGAGAGCAATTGAACATGTCTTGGGAACAGATGAATGAAGTTAGTAACCTATTTCCCGTTTTTATTTGACTTATGGTAGTGCCGAGGTGGGAATCGCATTAATCCTATATTATTATTATTATTATTATTATTATTATTATTATTATTATTATTATTATTATTATCGTAAGTCTGCATAATGTTTTTCGTCCACGTTAAGGAGGCTTAATAATTGTATGAAACTAGTTTCATACATAGAGTCTCGTTTTGCTTCTTTATACATTTGTATGTAGTTAAATCAAACGTATTAACAGAAAAGTCCACAAACATCTCATGATTACTTATTTACATGGCGTGCAAACTAAACTTTAGGAACTAAAGTTTTAGAAAGTGGTGTGGTATAAGTAGGATAAATTATGATTTCCTAACTGCGTACACTATTTATGCTGATATTATTGACTTGTGTGTCGCATATAACACACAAACACACATCATACCCCAGTAATCAAGCTTGGTCAGGGTATCGTTTAGAGGCCCTTGATCACTTCAGCGCTCAAAAATACAAAACCAACGATTGCTACGTTATCATTATTGTGGTCGAATTTCCATTTCATTAGCGGACATTTAGTGTTTAAAATGCTTGACTTTCAACTATTGGGTTTAAAATTCAAATCCCATCCACCTGCTTTTATTTGGTCAGTCCGTAGTGCTTATGCAAAAAGGTGGTCCAAATCTGCGACTAAAAGACTTTACTTTGTTGTTGAGTTGGGATTATTTTATTTATTTACTACTGTTTCATCCTCAGATCTCGCAGCAGTTAGATGTAACCTAGTGTACTATAAACCTCGGGGCTTGTGAAAGTAGTTTCTTGGGGCAGATCAATCCTCGTTGGGTGGTAATAAGTAAACGTGTTCTAATAAAAGTAATCCTACTTGGTGACCTAGTAGGGACTATTGTCGTGAGCTTCTATGCATTCATTTACGGATCTGGATTCCAGAATTTCACTCTCCCTCCAGAATATTAATGAATGTTTACTGCTTCTACCAAATTAGTGGTGTACTTACTTCAAATATGGAATGAAGCTCCAAAATCAGCTACTGATATCTCCTTTATTCGAGAAATGTCACTTTACATGTTCGTCAAAAGCTTCACCTGTATTTTAGGTTGTTTTCCTGATACCTTTTTACTGTCGTTTTTTTAATAGTATCCAATTCTGCGTGTTTATTATAGTGATGAACCGTAAGCGTCCTTCGTGGTGGGTGATATTAGAAAACTACTTTCATTACTCATGTATCTATATGGTTAGTGGTGTCATTTCGTAACATCAACTGCTAGACCAAGCTTCTTAAGTAAATTCCCCCATCACCATCATAGGATAAGTACAAAATGACTTCTTAATTACTTTTCTCCCTTGTTTTATCATGGTACAAATGACCTTAAATCTAAGTGTGAATAGTTGAGACAACTGTTATGAGGTTACAAATTGTCATAAGTGGATAATCATTAATGTCAATTGTGACAATGTATGTCGAGCGTTCACATTTAATACTATGTAATTTATTTTAATAGACAGTGGTTCACGTCATGTTTCAATTTAGTTTTAAAATTTTACAAGGAATACGCCATTGAGTAAGTATGATATTACTATGCTCCAATTTTTAGATGCATAATAGTCAGTTGAGTGTATTATTAAACTGAAACTTGCTAAATCTGAGATTTTTTTTAGTAGAATACATCAATATAAGTGGATATTGGGAACATGATAATTAATTTCAAACGAAAATTTATTTATAAATGATGTTTTGATTTGCATTAAATCTGTATATTTTTTGTTTAGACGATCCAACCACTGATTGAAGCCTGTACAAAAGAAAATATATCTAAAGGAAAATCTTGGGTTGTTGACAAAATGTCTGAGTCACCTGAGCTAACTAAGCTAATGTCTGATTATCTAATAACACGTGCAAGTGCTATTAGTGTTACATTCGACTTAAGGCTCCACTTGGTATACTTGTTAAACGACCTACTTCATCATTCTAAACGTCGTGGTGCTCCTGTTCATCTGCAAGTATGTTATTATTAAAAGTTGGAGACAACTTACAGATTTATATTCATTTTGATTAGTCCTAAAAGATTCTGTCATCACTGTGAAATATTATTTACACACTTAAATTTACTTAACAATAATGTTTAGCTTACTATGGTTTACACTATGATTTTGATTATGGAAGCCTACTATCTAAGTAATTCTAATTACAATAAATTTATCGTATCATACGATGTAACATTCAATTGACTTGGTTATTTTAGAACGTGCAATAATGTTGGATTTTCTTGGTTACTATAAATCTTAACTCGACAGACAGAAAGCTAAATATCAGAATACATCGAATAGTTGAGAATAAAGGATACCAAACAAAAAAATGTCGTTACTAATGTTAAGCCACATCACCGTAACGTCAAGCCAACAGCAGTTTATAAGAAAGGTGTAAATTATTGCTTACTATTAGAGTAGATAGTTACTTGAGGGATTAGTGCTATTTTACCCATTTATCACACTGAAAGGTTTCAATTACTTACGGAATGACGCCAATATGAACGCTGTTTAATATCCGTATATCATTTCTGGTTTTTTCCACAATAGATTGTGCGAAATATTTACGTATTTCGACTTCTCTGTGCTTTTGTTCCTAGGCAATTATTGTAACACTAAAATGTCCTCTCTACGACTAATTAGCTTTAAATTATTTTCTAAGATTCCAATTCAAATCTGTAGATTATCACCCATTAACAGTTGGTTCACAGGTTCTGTAATTCTTGTTTATACATTTCGGAGACTGATAACTTATTTGATTACAGTATTATGATAGTAAAAGTTTAAGTTATTCTTATTACTCACGTGCCTAAAGTACATATCCGGGTTTCCGATGATGTTTAACCTACTGATATATGAAATAGCTTCATATCTAATAACTTATATGATGGGTTCACTAGTGTCATAGTTGGAAAATCGCTCGTCAGCACTGTTATAACTGGAAAAATGACCTTGTTACCACAGTTGTAACTGGATACTTACTTACTTACTTACTTACGCCTGTTACTCCTCGTGAAGGAGCATAGGCCACTCACCAGCATTCTCCATCCAACCCTGTCCTGGGCAATCCTTTCTAGCTCCGTCCAGTTGTAATTCATCCTTTTCATATCTGCTTCTATAATCCGACGCAATGTGTTCTTTGGCCTTCCTCTTTTTCGCCTCCCTTCAGGGTTCCAAGTTAGGGCTTGCCTCGTGATGCAGTTTGACGGTTTGCGTAATGTATGTCCTATCCATTTCCATCGTCTTTTCCTAATTTCTTCTTCAGCTGGAAGTTGGTTTGTTCTCTCCCACAGAAGGCTATTGCTGATGGTATCCGGCCAGTGGATGTTGAGTATCTTGCGTAGGCAGCTATTTATAAATACTTGTACTTTCTTGATGGTGGTTGTTGTAGTTCTCCAAGTTTCAGCTCCATACAGTAGAACTGCCTTGACGTTCGTATTGAAGATTCTCACTTTGATATTGGTTGAAAGTTGTTTTGAGTTCCATATGTTCTTCAATTGTAGGAATGCGACCCTTGCTTTGCCGATCCTCGCCTTTACGTCTGCATCTGAACCTCCTTGTTCATCGATGATGCTTCCTAGGTATGTGAAGGACTCTACATCTTCCAGAGTTTCGCCATCAAGAGTGATTGGATTGCTGTTCTGCGTGTTGAATTTGAGGACCTTGGTTTTCCCTTTGTGTATGCTGAGGCCTACTGATGCAGAGACTGCTGCTACACTGGCTGTCTTCATCTGCATCTGTTCGTGTGTACGTGATAGGAGGGCTAGGTCGTCTGCGAAGTCCAAATCGTCTAATTGATTCTGAGTTGTCCATTGTATTCCGTGTTTTCCTTCAGATATTGAGGTCTTCATAATCCAGTCGACCACCAGAAGAAAGAGGAAGGGAGAGAGTAAACAGCCTTGTCTGACTCCAGTCCTTACTTGGAATGCATCTGTCAGCTGTCCTCCATGCACTACTTTGCACTGTAGTCCGTCGTATGAGTTCCGGATAATGTTGACAATCTTCTCAGGAACTCCGTAGTGTCGAAGAAGTTTCCATAATGTCCTCCTATCTACACTGTCGAATGCCTTTTCATAATCAATGAAGTTGATGTATAGTGATGAGTTCCACTCCACTGATTGTTCGACGATGATCCGTAGTGTTGCAATTTGGTCTGTGCACGACCGATCCTTACGGAATCCAGCTTGTTGATCTCGAAGTTGGGCGTCTACTGCATCCTTCATCCGGTTCAGCAACACTCTGTTGAAGACTTTCCCTGGTATTGACAGTAGTGTAATGCCTCTGTAGTTTTCACATTTGCTCAGATCTCCTTTCTTTGGAATCTTGACGAGGTGTCCTTCTTTCCAGTCCATTGGCACTTGTTCCTCCTCCCAAATCTTTTTGAATAGAAGGTACAGCATGCTTGTGGTTGCTTCGATGTCTGATTTCAGTGCTTCAGCTGGTATGTTGTCGGGTCCTGCTGCTTTCCCGTTCTTGATTTGTCTGACGGCCATTCTAATTTCTTCCGTCGTTGGTGGGTTGACATCTATAGGAAGATCTATGTGTGCTGCTTCGATGTCCGGTGGATTCATTGGAGCCGGCCTATTCAGGAGTTCCTCGAAGTATTCCACCCATCTGTTACGCTGATGTTGAATTTCGGTGATTGGCTTGCCTTCTTTGTCTTTGACCGGCCTCTCTGGTTTACTGTATTTCCCTGCTAGTTTCTTCGTTGTATCGTAAAGCTGTTTCATATTTCCTTCTCTAGCAGCTTTTTCTGCCGTCGTTGCTAGTTCTTCCACGTATTTCTTCTTGTCGGCTCTAATGCTCCTCTTCACTTGTTTGTTTGCTTCTATGTATTCAGCTTGTGCTTGACTTTCTCTGCTCGTGTTCGGCTGTTGTTAATTGCTGCCTTCTTGTTCTTCCTTTCTTTGATCTTGTCCAGTGTTTCTATAGAGATCCATTCCTTATGATGGTGTTTCTTTAGGCCCAGAACCTCTTGACACGTTGAAGTTAATGCTTCCTTGATGCCTTTCCAGTTGTCCTCCATACTAGTTTCTTCTTCTTTCAGTAGATCTTGTAAGGCTTGGAACCTGTTGTTGAGAGCTATCTTGAATTCATTGAGTTTGTCAGTATCTCGAAGGAAGGCTGTATTGAACCTTTGTAGTGCTGTTTGTCCACTTGTCCAGTTCTTTTTTAGCTTCAGTTTTAAATTGGCTACAACTAGGTGGTGATCTGAAGCTACGTCAGCACCTCTCCTGGTTCTTACATCTTCCATTGTCCTTCGGAATTTTTTGTTGATGCAAATATGATCTATTTGGTTCTCTGTAGTGTGGTCCGGTGAGATCCATGTAGCCTTGTGTATACGCTTGTGTGGAAATATTGTGCCTCCTATGACCAATTTGTTGAATGCACATAGATTTGCAAATCTTTCTCCATTTTCGTTTCTCTCTCCCAGTCCATGTCGTCCCATGATATCTTCATATCCGGTGTTGTCTATTCCGACTTTGGCATTTAGATCTCCCATCAGAATAGTTAGGTCCTTTCTTGGCATTTCTCAATGATTGACTGCAGCCGCTCGTAGAACTGATCTTTAATGTCGTCGTTGCTATCATTGGTGGGTGCATAACATTGGATAATATTCATTAAGATCCCCTCCTTCTTTGTTTTGAATGATGCTTTGATGATTCTGGATCCGTGAGACTCCCATCCTACAAGTGCATTTCGTGCTACTTTGGACAGCATAAGAGCGACTCCCTGAGTGTGTGGAGCATTGTCCTCCTCGTGACCGGAGTATAGCAGCATCTCTCCCGTAGCTAGCCTTTTCTGTCCAGCTTGGGTCCAGTGGGTTTCGCTGATTCCCAGTACTGCTAAGTTGTATCTCCTCATTTCCATTGCTATTTGACTGGTCTTCCCGGTTTCCCACATTGTTCGAACGTTCCATGTACCTATAAAAATTTTTGCTCTGGTTGTTAGAAGGGGCATCGGCCTCGTGGCTTCCGAAGGAACTCGGCTTTCACCATGAAGCGTCATAATTCTTCTAACTGAAGACCTTCTAACTCCCAGGGCAGAGTTTAAATGGTTTGAATAATTTTTTCTGGTAAGCGTTTTTTTAGCGAGTTAGTTTTCTACGGGATGGGGACGCTAACCCCATGCCCAACCCTCCTCCTTTACCCGGGCTTGGGACCGGCAGTAACCCTATTAGAGCTACAGGCGGAGTTTGTAACTGGATAGCCAACTGTTGTATCTGAAAAGCCGTCACTGTTATGTACGTATCGAGTCCATTGAGTCCTCAGTCTTACTGCTTTTACTAATAGTCGAGAACCACTACAATTTCTGGATCCTATTGCTTATACCAGGAAACGAGGACCACTACAATTCCCACAACCCAGAGTGAGAACACGAAAGATTGGTGAAACGAAGGTTTGTTGACTCCAGAATAAGTCTCCAAATAAGTCCCAAGATCACACCATCCTTAGATTAAAATTTAGTCATTTATGTACTAAGTTTTACACACAATGTTATATACAGTATGTTTGAAATACATGATTCATATTGCAGAGGCTAAGATTGGTGTTCTGGACTCAACAAGCAGGGCTAGGTAGGGAGAAGGACCGATAAAGACTCTAAACTACTCGTACGGGTTTATGCGTCATAGGTCTGGTCGACAATTCACTATTCTCTAATTGGCAGTATCATTACGTTATATGTTAATAGAGCACAAGGCTACAAGTTATAACACAATAATAGCACATGGGAGGGGAAATACTTAAGATTACTGTAAAAACACAATAAATACAGTTCACTTGAGTTAATACAGTGAATGAAATTGTCACACTTGTCATATAGAACAGACTTTGTACATATTTAATACGAAAAGGTATTGACCCAAATTATGTCATCTCATCCTGTCTTATCAAATGTATAATAACTATTTCCTAGTCGGATCTTGAAAAGCTGGTTAAATATGACTCCTTAATATCTACGTACATGGTTGATACTGTTGAGAAATAGCAGATATGGCGTGAGATTAAATGTTCTCCCTTTTGAAGTCGATTTATTTGATTGGTTAGTTATCAAACTATACTGAAAAAGATATTGGTTGATCTCTCATATGAATTTCGTATTTACATAAGATCTTTGTTCTATGAAAGACTTATTTTCTATAGATAGAAATAAACCAGAGCGGTGACTCCTAGGTAAAGTGCTCGATTTCCAAACATTGTTGCAAGTTCCAACTTAATTCGACTTAATGAAGTATAAATGTCAGGGTAGTATCACTAGTTTTCATACAAAGTTTGTAACTAAAATTTAGATAATAAATATTCTCTTAGCTTCTGAGTTGCACTATGTTGTGGCGATGAATTTAACTCATAAATATATTCAATACACACTTTATTTCGATATTTATCTACAGGAAGCTTTACATGAAACAGTGCCGGTAATTTTCTGCCTAGCGACTGAGATTGCAGATGATGAACAAAGAGCCAAAATTAATCGTGTTTTAAGCTTGTGGGAAACCAACTCTTATTTGCCAGTCGAAGTTTTGGTAAAGATGAGACCTCCAGAATCAGGTAAATTCTTAGCGGAATGGAAAGAAAGTCAGTCAAAGGTCAGTGAATTTAGTATTTTTGTGCTCCGCAAAATTTCATCTTTTCTATAGAACAGTATGATCTTTTCGTAATTTTCGGACACTAGGATATATTAATCTACTGAAGACTTAAGTGTTTTGTAATTGAAACCCATTTTTCAAGTGTATCGAGAGTTAAATTGACACCATAACTGATACAATAGAGTATGTCGATCCAGAGAAATTAGTCCTTCTGGAATATTTTTTCCTCTTCATCACCAAACTCCGTTAGTATTTTGTTTATCACATGCTGGGGTGTTTACCTTATAAATGCCTAGTTTACTAGAAGGGAAGTCTGTTCCACCGTCTTGTTCATGTTGTGTTATTTAATATCTTATGGCGTAATTCACGAATTCGGAGAGTGAAAATAAAGTTTATATTGATGGTATAGTGATATTTGTCTCTGCATTATCGGCGGAAGGAAAGTTTTAAAAAGTTGAGGACGATAGTGACATGTTGGTTTATCGAACGGAAAAAAGAAGTATTGAAGTTCCTTCATAAGATAACTTCCAATTCCATGATTCCATTCCAGGATACTGTCTCATCATGCTAGTTATTTAATAACCGGTAAATATACTGGCTGGATCTTTTGAACCTCAATGGTATGTAGTAAGTGACTGCCTTCTAAGCCTAACGACTTAGGAGTCGTAGTCGAAAAACAGTAGTAACTAGAGTGATAGATACTGAACTTTATTAAGCATTTATGCTTCAGGAAACCAAGTCTGTCATAAAGCCATTACTTTCGTTATTATCTTAGTGTTGCTCATCGTTTTCTCTGCTCTATCCATAGCGTCAGTCCTTGAAGTCATTAACTTCTAGTCTGAGCCATGTTGGTAGATGCAGACTACTTGGTTGGAGTCTGCGTGACTATCGTAACCAATGGTTGGAGACTCTGTGTGACATGGCTCAGAATAGATCACAGTGTGGTGTATTCACTTTTTGTCTTCCCTTAAATCGTGAGATTAAAACTACTTTATAATTTTCTTTCTAATTCTTTCCTCCTGTACTATATCCTTATACACAATATTTCTCTTATACATTACTACCTTTGAATTAACTAATTCTATGAATCCGGTGTCCATCTTGCTGTGCTAATGAGGTATGGCAACTTGGACCGATGCATATATGTGCCTGGTCCTACGTTGTAGCTGACTGACTGACTAACTCTATCCAATAGTTTACTGTGGTTTGGACTCAACTATTATGAAGACGTCTCATTTCACCCTTACAGTTCTGGGATATGCACCAGTTCATAGATTATTTCATGCATTCAGAATCAGACTGTCAGTCGATGTAGATGATTAGTGAGTAGTATCTAATATGTATTAGCTCATTATATAACTATACAAGTTTTAAAAGGGTTAATTAGGAGCAACACATAAATGACTCGACTGCTACTGACTGACTGACTCTGACTCGACTGGTAGTGCTCGAGTAAAGAGCCTTCAAAAGGTTTATGTACTTCTGAGGTACACCTTTCAGTGACAGAAACTGCCACAGAACCTCTCGGTCTACAGAGTCAAATGTTGCCTTTAAGTCAAGACCACCATTGTCGGACCCCGATAAGCATGCCTGTGTTCTGGAACCTGACGAATGTTGAATATTACTCTTTTGGTAACAATTATTTCCCTTTGTCACTTTACTTAGTATTTAGTTTGAGTTTCTCATTGAATAGAAGTATTCTACCTGTACTGAAGACCAAAATCATAGTTCCTCTCATCATCCGACAATTGATAATGCTAGTTTTTTTCAGATGACTTTAATTATTAAGTGAATTTATTTTCTAATGTGTGATTTGCGTAAGTGAAGCAAGTTCTTTTTTCCAAATCAGTTCTGTAATAAATAACGTCCTCTTATCCATTAAATGTGAATCAGATCTGTTACTGATTCTGCAAGTAGATTTTAGTTTCTAGCTATTAATATTACCTAAATATACCACAGTAACCTTTTTCATTCAGTTTCAATGTTGATTACTTCTTAGTGTGATCAACCAAGTGCAACATAAAATGGTCGTTATTGTACTATATCTCTATATGCAATCTTTCTCTTATATATTACCACCTTTGACCTAACCACTGCTATGAATCCGGTGTTCATCTTGTTGTGCTGATGCGGTATGGCAACCTGGACCGATGCACATATGTGCCTGGTCCTACGTTGTAGCTGACTGACTGACTGACTGTTGATATAGATAATAATTACAATATATTTAAAAGCTCACTCATTTTACGGTTAATCGCTGATGAACACACCTAGCTAACACTACTCTGTGTATAATGCTGTATTCTGCTGTTCTATATTGTTGTGTGCAGTTGAATAATACTAACAATTAACCCTTATTTAAATTATGAACTGTTTGATCAAAATATTCTATTAGAACTGTCATTCTCTTATTAAGTATTCATTGAAGGTACTGTGGTTTTGCCTAAAACTGAAATAGGAAAGTTTAGCATTTTTTATGTCAAATATCTAGACCGGGTATTTCTTACCGTCGACATAGTCTTTAAACAAATAACTTTAAAAAACAACAAACTATTAGACCTAGACAAAAGAAAAACTGAACCCTTTCGTCATGCATATAATCACCGTGTTGACGAAGGAAAAGGCCAATTATTTGAATTTCATCTAATGTTTTCTTACTGTATTTTATACATATCAGCTACTCGAATCATTCAATCAATTGTTATTTACATGCTTAAGCACATATCATTTAGTATTCTTTGTATTTTCATTACTACGAGGCTTTCTTGTGTCTTTTCTTCACAAAACTCATCTTAAGCTTTCGTGTAGAACCCACTAATAAGTACTTCATTTTACCAAGTTTTCTTGTGGTGTAATAAATATTAAATAATGGAGTTGAAGCCCAATACCTTTGTAGTAAATGATTTAATAGCTAAATTAATAGACATTTATAAAACCAATCAATGAAAAAGTATGAGACTAGTGAAAGAAAACTAAGTGTTAAAATAATCTAACTGTTATTATTTATTATGTTTGTGGGGACGATACATTGATATGCACAACTTTATCTGTCAGTTGCTATTACACATTACTATTGTATAAGATAATATCCAGTAGATTACGGAGCCCAAAATGGATATTTTTAAGAGTATGGTTTATTTTCTTTCAAGCTGTTCATGTTTGCCTGTTTGTTTGTTTTTTCTTCAGCCGTTTGAAAGTGAAATAGACAAAATAAAAGCAAACATTATGAATCAATACACTAGTCTTGAGAGACAACATCAAGAGTTTGCAGATCATGTACTACGACAGTTAGCTTCGTCACATTCCGATAAGTCTGATGAAGCATCTATCTCTGATAGTCATCATTCTCAATATGGATCATCTCATCATCCTATGCAGGTTTGTTCACATTAGCACTATGTATTGTACTTTATCATATATATCCATGTATGTGTACAAAACATTAGGATTAGTACTAGAGGCGAGCAGGAAGTATTTGTGCATGTGGACAATACTTAACAGCCGTTTATACTACAATTGTAGTTCCGGCAAAAAGATTTAAGTGAAGTAGTTTGTTAGGCTTCGAAGTGGTCTGGGACTCCGGACAAAAAGCAATGTCAAATATAATGACATTGACGTTGATTTCAAAGTATTACTTGTAAAGCAGAATTAATTGTTGCTTCAACTACTTATGTTTGTGTGTTTGATGAGGTTTTTGTCAATGTTAGACTTGCTCATATCACTTTTCGAGGAAAAATACATGTAAACTTTTCCAGAACATTTATAAAATATGCAACATATAAATAATAATAATAATAATAATAATAATAATGATAATAATAGATATTTCTCAAACATTCGTTAACATAGACTGTACCTATTATATATTAGATTGAAAGGATTAATTCTGTTCATGGTCTTGCAGAAAAAATTATGCTACCCAGTTGTTATATAATGTTGTTTGTACTTATTATTCTCTTCCCTGGTATTGTAACTAGTGAATCTATTATTTTAGTGTCCAAATCATGCTTTTTTTGCAGCTGAATAAAATCTGTCTATAATCATCATATTACATACCATCTAATTTGATGGTTGGTCTTTTATTTATTGTGGTGAATAAATAAATTATTCATTTGATTTAGACATTTTTTTCCACATACTAGATCTTCCATGTTCTACTTCAATGTGTAACCTATGATTTAGAGCACCCTATTTTACATAATGATTTAGTATAAAATAAAATTTATTTTTATCCTAGTATTCTTTATTTATAGTGGCATAAAAGTTGATTCATTCCTAATGAATTAGGAGTATGTATAGACAAATTATATTCGCTCTACAATCATGTCCCTTTCTCTAAACGTTAATTAGAAGAATGTCTGTCGGTAGTACTGTGTAGATACTCAACTGTCAAATTTTTTCTAAGTAATTTGAGGTTATTACTCCTTAAAGAACAAATATAGTTCGGTTTCATACTCATAAATGCTGTGATCTCTCATATTTGAGCAGCGTTTTTTTTACCTTGCTACCCCAAACTGATTACAATCATTTTAGATATTGTTTATTAATAGTAACTTGAAATATCTGGAATATGCCTTTAATAAACCATTTTATACTTGATGTTTTTTACGCTTTACATATTTTAATCTAAGTAGTTTGTAAGATATAGTCTATAGATGATGTTGTCTTTAAGTGTTGTTATGTATGTGTGTTCTTTTGATTGATTATGCTAACGATTTTATGCATCATTTATGAACAGAGAAGTACCTTTATGAACTATCATTCTCGGTAAAACTTATAAGAAATAAAGATAGGTCAGAATTGTTTAATCCACCCTACTGGTCTCTTATCACGTTATTTGGAAGTTTTCAGTCACCTTCAATTAAAGTATTCTACAAAGCTGAGCATATTTATATACAGTGTTCAGTTGTTTGACTAATTAAGTTGTTGCAACTTCAAAGTTATCCTAATTATGACTTTTAATTTGATGTTTTTGAAATGTGTAGAGCTGTAGCTTAGTATTTGATTTCTAACCATCAGTTTGCAAAAGCTGACTTGATTAGGTTTTGCTCGCTTCCTCCAAAATGAGTCTAATTCCTATCTGTTTTAGAAAAATCCTAAAAGCAATTCCTCGTTTACGTTTATTTCTGTCAGATACTTTTTATTGTCATTTAACATTGCTAACGGTTTGCTGTGAATTCACTAGTGAAACATGACCTGTCAGTTTTATTTTAATTAAGTTTAACTTTCAGTATTTTAGTAAGTTAGTCACGTTTAGAATAACTTTGTACTTATTAGTGAGTTTTAAATAATCACTGATCGGTCCACTCCTCATTTGACTTAAATATTCAGATAGGAGGATATTTATCATTTAATTGTTAACGCACTTAATACCTCTTGCTTCCAGAATGTTGATCCAAACTTTACGTACTGGGGTCCACCACCACAGACTACTGGAGGATTCGATATGCTTCCACAGGATATGATGAGCGGGTCAGATCCAAGAGATATGCAACGTCGAATGCCTGGTTATCCCCCACCTTCACAAATGTCAGGGTATACAGGACCTGGTGGTGGTGGGGCAAGTTATCCTCCTCAAATGGGTTGGCCACCTGGGCAGCATGATTCTGCAAAATGGAATCAATCTGTACCTAACTACAACTCTCAACCTGGACACAAAAATTTTGGTGGTCATGAGTTAAGCAGCAATGTATATATTGAAGGTGAAGAACCAGAAGATGAACAATCTATGTATCCTAATTCGTCTTATGAATGCGGTAAATTCATTAGTAATTTGTGTTTAGTTAGTTCTAGTCACTATCAGTATTTTGTTTTATTTAAATGTTACTTCTGTATATATTTAATAGTTAGTAGCTTTTATACTACCGTCAGGAATAACTTTATGTATTACCTGGAAGGTGTATATTATAGATTTGTCAAAGGCTGTAACTTTGGCCTATAACCTATCCTTCTGTCATATCATAGTTCTACTATTAAATCTGACTCTTGGTCGTTCTTCAATAAATCGATTCTCCTTGTATAGTCTTTAGAACTGCGTGGTATGTACTTGGCAAAGATGAACCAAACTGTTTTCAAAAAGTGATAGCAAGCTTTATCGTTCTATCTCTAGTGGTTGTTTCAAGATTTAACTCCAACCACTTCAATAGAAGCTTAACCAGGTATTTGCAGCTTTGATTTCAGCTATTTTCGGTATGAGATAAAGGCACTGATTTTTAATTCATATCAAGCTATATAATTCCTCTCGTTTTTCGTTCTCTAAATATCGGAATTGAATTATTGAGATGATTACTGTTCTTCACTTGTGATAAGTGTTGGAAGAGTCCCAGAAATATACCTCGTCAAAATCTCCGGAGGCCCAGAAATGCCAGGAAGTATTCAGAGAAACATCTAGAAAATGGAGAGTCACGTGCTAGAGTGTTGATTGGATATTCACCCATACTACTACTATATTTATTATGGTCTCGAGAACTCCTAGAAGCTCTAGGTTGTGTGTAATTCTGCAAAGGCCCTTGTTTTTCTGTTCATAAACTGACCTCAGAGTAAAGCTGTTGCTCGCGGTTCGCGCTTGCTCTAGTGTTTCAACTGACTTGTAGAAGTAGTCGGAGATAACCGAACAGGATAGGAAGACAGTTTAAGTGTGTCGGTAGCAAGACTTATCAATAAGTATTGGCTGGTAAAGAAATGCTTTTCTACCTCCAGCGTATCGAAAAATGGGGGAGGAATTAAAAAGGATATCTGATTTTCACGTTGACCGTCCATCTTCTAGAAGGTACTCGCTCCTATTCAGGCGAGGTATTAGGAAAGTGCGAAATATATAATCTAGTGGCTTAGTCATATTTTCTGAAGGATTTTAACGTATTGATTGCTTAGATTGTGTACACACATTAAATTATTGGTTGATTGTTAATTCTATTCATCCAAATTTATTTATTGGCCGAACATTTAAAATGATATATTTCATTATTTCGGATGTCGTTTTAATCACTGGTTGATGCATAAATAAATCCTCACGTAACATTCTTACTTTCTTTATTCCACTGACCCATTTCAGTTTTGTTCCACTCAATAAGTAGCATAAAAAACTTGTTTTTCGGCCAATAGTGAACAACCATACCAGTAGTAGCTATCAACAATTTAAGTATGATATAACAAGCCAATATTTTATTTATGAAAATCCCCGCTCTAAACCACTGAATGATGACATTCTTTAACATTCTCAATTCTTTTTATGTAGTTGAGCGAAATACATGACAGAAAATAAAGGACGAGATTGTATTTGAAGTAAACAATAATATATACACGTTTGTATAGCACGAAATATAAGTGAATAGACTTGGTTTCTTTTATATTGTCTCAGTCTGTTCATTCAGTTAAAACATTCATCTAGGGAGTTGATTCTCGATTTGTTTATAAGATAAGGAAATAAAAGACAAGTTAGTTACATAGTATATATATATATATATATTCTTTTCCTTTTATAGGATCTTATGGAGGTTATTATAATCATAACAATAACGATTATCGACAGTATGAAGACTCTTCTCATGGTGTTCGAAATACACGAGACAATCAAAATAATCGTGATGAGAAACCTCGAACATTTCGCGGTAGTCGTCCTTCACGATTTTCCTCTGCTCCATCTCATCCTGAGACAGGTAATGAAAGAAAATTGATCGTAGTGATACTGGAAAAAATACTGTCAGTATGGAACAGCAACACATAACACCTAAGACTGATCTAGAAATGCCAAAAAATTCAGAAAATTCTATGATACCGGTTGTTGAATCTTATGACATAAATCAAAAATTCCCCGCTTGGCAATTACCTGCAGGATTAGTACATCCATTAATTCGATTAAAAGATTTTGATTTTACTCCATTGAATGAAAACAATTTGCAATTATTACCTCCAACAACACCGTCTGAACGTTTGCTTATGGCATTGGAGAATTTCTACATGCCACCCACCCAGATAAACCACGTGACGGCGAAGGTTGGGAACATATGGCTCTTCATGAATTTTATACGAAAAAAGAACGCGCTCGTCCTTCTGAGCATAAAGAAAACGATGTTAGTCAAATTTGTTGTAACTTGGAAATTTCGCTTAAAATGTTTTGTAATTAGATGTTTCCAATTTTAATATTTACTTATTTATTAGTTTGAATAATTACCACTTGAGGAAAATATAGAGGTGACTATCCTTTTGCACTTAATAGATTTTCTCCAAACGCTTATTTAAATAAAAAAAAACATTCTTTTCAACAAATTCACATCAATTTCTATGATTATGAATTTAAATTAACGTTCAAAAGGGAATAACTAAGTTTGGGACAAAATACATCAAACAAATTAGTTTTCTATTTCATATTATAGTCTAACTACCTTTTACTTCAAAATTCAATTTATAAAAGCATAGTGTAAATATTGAATTTTGTTCTATATTCTTAAGACAACCTTTTCCCTTTAATTTTTACCCAAAGAATTTTCAGCTGTAATTACACTTTTATGTGTACTTGTGTTGTGTACTATTGAAGCCACTCGTTTATTCATGGCTCAATTGCTTTCTTTTAGATTAAATCACAAACTCATAACAATACAATCAATTAAATAATATTTTCAGAAATTATGGATTAGTAAAATATTTCTGACATTTTTATCATTCATATCAATCAGTTTATCGTTTCTACTTGAATAGTTTATATCACATTGACCAATATTATTGTTTGTTCGGATGAGTTTAAAGAATTATTGGATTTAATTAGTAAATAATGTATTGATAATTTTTATTAAACAGTTTGTAGTCGATTTTCAAGCTTTTCGCAAGGTATCAAAAATCAACATTTATCTAATGGCAAAAGGTAGATTGAAACATTCTATCTTTAGTTGTAAAGATAAGCTGTTACGTTCAATATGGTTTGTATATTTTGTGCTATTAATTTATATAGTCTCGTTCTTCTGGGTCGTTCATAAAGTAAATGTCCTATACCTTCTTGCACTTAATATATGTATTGTTCTTTATTTCATTTGTATAGAGAGACAACACATCTACCAGTAAAGCAAAGTCAAATCGACGCCGTCAACATAGTGGAGGTAGTTATGCAAGTAGTCATTCAGAATATGATTTCACAAATGAATTAGTTCCAGACCTTCAACATGACATAGTGGTTGACGTTGAAAAGCCGTTTTCACGTGACAATTCAGATAAGGAAGGTCTCCTTGGACCATCACAATTAGCATATATAACATCTTATCCCAAACTTGCAATAGGTCAACCTCTCAGAACTGGCCTTGAAGCACTGACCTTGGCCCCTCCTCCTATGCAGTGTATGCAAGGACAGCTAACACATAATTATAGTGCTTATAAAACAGCTGGTATTCAACCGGGTATTCCCATACCTGTCCCTCCGTTACCAGGTTTACTAGGTGCCATTCCACCTGGACCAAGTGGATTCCCTAATACAAGCTTTCTACAATTTCCTCCTCCGGTCAATCAGCCACCACCAACCCTTCCACTGCCTCAAGGTTTGATTCAAAGGCCCCCACCAGGATTTTCTGTTGACCGTTTTGAATCTCGTGGGTCTCGATCTCGTTCTAGGTTTGTGCTAAATTTTAAAAGTTTCTAATATATATCTTATAGAGAACTGTTAGATATAATGCCTATATAATTCATTATATCAAATCGCTTTCAGTAGGCTACAATAAGTATACTTTATTTACTGAAGATTATTTAATTATTCCTTACACAGTTTGCTTCGAAATTCATCTTTTACAGATCTGATTCACGTTCGAAGTCTCATTCTCATTCTGCGGATTCACGTTCTCGTGACTTTCGTTCTCGTTCACGATCACAATCTAGATCTCATAGTTCTCAAAGTAGATCTCAGTCACGCTCTGATTCTCGTGATTCTCGTTCCAAATCTGTATCACCTAATAATGATGATGAAACTGGTAGCAACCAGTCACGTGGCCTTTCAAGAGATCGAAGACGTAACAGGTTAGTTGTGCTTGCATTTCATACCTGATTTCCCTATGCTTCCTTCGTATGCTGAAAGTATTAGTAGTATACATTCTTACTTCTTCATGTCTTTCTGATCTTTATGCCAATGTAAATTGTAGTATAAGAAGCTTGGTGTATTCTGTTGTTAGGCATACTTTTTTTTATATTATGGTTGTCTATTCAGTTAGTTGGTGTCTAAATTATTAGCACATGATAAATTGCGCTTTCCGTAATTAAAGACATTTGGTAGTATTACTGTACAATTCCGTTGTATTTAGCTTGTATGTAGTCTTTAAAAATATCGGGCGAAATAACAACGAAAGACAAGGTAGACAATTGGGGAATACAATGTACATTTCTAGGAATATGGATTTTAAGCCCAGAGCTTGGTTTCGGTAGATGGAATTAATAGGGCGAAACGGCCGTCCAGTGCTTCCAGGTTTTCCATGGTGGTCTAGCTTCAATTGGCTTATGATTAAAATTAAGAAATTAAAATAACAGGATCTTGGGAGGTATTTTCAGAAAAATGCATATTTATATACAGCGAATCTATTTTGTTATAAAACTCACTATTTTTCATAATTTCCGTAGTAATCTAGGTGTGAACAATCGTCACTAGATGTAAAAAGGGCCATACGAGCTAAACAGTTTAATTCATCATTGCCTAATATCGCTTATACTTCAAACTACTTTTTTTTTCTTTTTCAGATCACGTTCACGAAGCTCAGGTTCACCGTTTGCTCGATTCACTTCAGCTCCTGGACCTGGTGGTTTAGGAGCAGCCGGTGGAGGCGGTAGCGGTGGGAATATAAATGCTGCTCGTGCTGCTGCAATAGCAGCTGCGGTTTCCATAGCTAATTCAATCAACGCACAATCTGGCTGGTCCAATAACAATGTTAGTAATAGTAACAATACTAATAATAATATACCCACTAACGCATTTAACAACCAAGGCTTTAGCGGGCCTGGTCTTTTACCAGGTGGTCCGTACGCAGACACCAATAGAATAACCTACTATGGCGGCGGATTTCAACCTGTGAGTCAATTATATTATTGATTGTATAATGTAGTTTCTGACTGATGTTTTGATTAATCCGAAGGGTGTAGAGCAAAACTGCATGTCTAGTTACTATAAGTTTATTAAATCACTTATAGATAATTTATGAATAATTTTTGAAAAAAGCTTACGAATGAACCCATATAAATATACATATATATATATATATATATATATTTCAGAACCAGGGACAACACAATCGTGGTGGTGGTGTTGGCGGCGGCGGTTCACGTGGTGGTTACAATTCCAATAATTTACCAGGGCGAGGAGGCGGTAATGTGCGATACCATGGGTCGGACGATCGCTTTTATCCACCTCCACGCGATCACCAACGTCGATAAAAATGCTTTACTTGTTCATGAGATATTTTCGAATTATACTCTTTGACTTTTGCATTGTTTCTATTAATGAATATCATTCATGTGACTGTAAATTCAAACAATCTAAATACAACTATATATTGTTTGTTATGAGTCGTTCTTTCTGTTTTCCGGTCAGTGAGAATAAAGTTGCTATTCAACGTAATGTTAAATACCATGAGAATGGTTATAATATATTGTTTGTATGAAGTTTTAATATATAACGAGCAGCTAATGTTTTGCATCATCTTATTTCATACTGAAAGAGTTTAACCAATAGTGAAAGGTTATTTTTACCATAACATGTTTTAATATGCGAGTATATGTCTAGTTGGTTAGCATTATATTGTTGTTGAGTTTTAAATGAGATCATGAACCGATCATTATTAGATCACCATTGAAAACCTGGAAGTATTAGACGACCGTGTCGTCCTATGCTGTCCAATGCTTCCAAGTTTCCAATGGCGGTCTAATATTGATCAGTTCATGATTTCAATTATAGCATCATATTGTTGAATTCACAACGGTCATTGCTAAAAATTCGTCAGGTTAATAAATCCAATACTTCACCTTTCTACAGATGTAATATTAATATCAAGCAGCAACTTTATCATTGATGCACTCAACTTTTAATCAATACGTCACAGGTTCACAGTAGGTCATACATACTTGTGTTTTTCAACAATCTGGCTAATATGACTAGTTGTTACATAAATTGTATAACTCAAACCCATTTATATCAACCTGTACTATGTAAACAAGTTATATCATCATTTTTATCTCATTATTACTTAAGGTGCAACGACTACCGATTAGAGTTATGATGAAAAGATGTAGGATCTGGATTGGTAAAAATAGACGACTTGACAATAATTTTATTATTTTCTTAGGGTCCCTAAAACGCTAAACTTGTATTCACTTTCCTTCTATTTATGTTATCTTGAGATGTTTTGTTCCTGTTTTTTTATTTTGGGTCACTTTAGCAGCACAAACTTTACTACGCCTGTTACCTTTCGTGGATGAGCATAGGCCGCCCATCAGCATTCTCCATCCAACTCTGTCATGGGCAATCCTTTTATTCCTTTTTATTTGCTATTCATACTTTTGATACCTGCTTCCGATTCCCGAGGCAGTGTGTTCTTTAGTCGTCCTCCTCTCCTTAATTCTTCAGGATTCCAAGCTGGGGCTTGCCTCGTGATGCGGTTTGATGATTTCCTCAATTTGTGCCCTATTCACTTCCAACGTCTTTTCCTAATTTCCTCCTCATATGACATCTGGTTTGTTCTCTCTCACAGTAGACTGTTGCTGCTGGTATCCGGTCAACGGACGTTGAATATCTTACGTAGACAATGGTTTACAAATACTTGTAGTTCTTCAAGTTTCAGCACCGTTAAATAGTATTGTCTTGACGTCCGTATTGAAGATTGTGACTTTGATATTGGTTGACAGTTGTTTTGAGTTTCAGATGTTCTTCAGTAGTTGTCAATCCTTGCCTTCACTTTTGCACCAGATCTTCCCTGTTTATCTATGATGCTGTCCAGGTACATGAAAGTTTCCACCTCTTTCAGTGCTTCTCCATCGAGTTTGATTGGAATTGTGCTCTCTGTGTTATCTTTGAGGAGCTTGCATTTTCCCTTCAGTATGTGGAGGCCTACTTCTTCAGAGGCTGCTACTACGCTGGCTGTCTCCACCTGGATTTGTTGATGTGTATGAGATAGATGAGCTAGCTCATCTGTGAGCACCCTTGTTTTGCACTGACCCTCACTTGCAATGCGTCTGCCAGTTGTCCTCAATGCACCACTTTGCAGTGTAGTCCGTTGTATGGATTCCAGATAATGATGACGATTTTCTCAGCTAGTCACTCCATAGTTTCGAAGAAGGTTCCATAATTTTCCATCCACACTGTCAAATGATTTTTCATAATTAAGGAAATTGGTGTATAGTGACGAATTCCATTCGATTGATTGTTCAACGATGATCCGTAGCCTCGCGATTCGGTCTGTGCACGACCGATCCTTACGGAATCCGATCTAATGATCTCGAAGTTGGGCGCCCACTGAGTTTTTAATCTGGTTCATCAACACTTTGTTGAAAACGTTTCCTGGTACTGATAGTAGTGTGATGCCTCTGCAGCTAACTTATCAAACTGTTCGAATCTCCCTTCATTTGTATCTTGATTAGATAACTTTCTTTACAGTCTGTCGGCACTTGTTCTTCCTGATTAGAGTGTGAAGCATTTTTGCTGTTACTTTTGTGTTTAACTTCAGTGCTCTAGCTGGTATATTGTCAGGTCCTGCTGCTTTCCTGCTCTTGATTTGTCTGGTGGCCATCCTAGTTGCTTCGATTGTTGGTGGAGTGACATCGATAGGAAGATGTGCGCTGCTTCAATGTCCGGTGGGTTCAGCGGGTCTTATCAAGAGTTCTTCAAAGTGCACTACCCACCGATTCCTCTATTCTTTAGTCTCAGTGATTGACTTGCTTCATTCGTCCTTGACTGTTTACCCTGGTTCACTATATTTCTCTGTCAATTTCTTCATCGTGTAATATAGTTGTTTCATATTTCCTTCTCTTGCAGCTTCCTCCACTGTCATTGCCAGATCTTCCACGTATTTATGCTTGTCAGTTCTATTGCTCCTCTCCACTTCATTGTATGCATCAGTGTATTCAGCTTGTGCCTTAACTTGCACTGTTCTCATTCGGCTGTTGTTAATTGCTGTCTTCTTGTTCTTCCTTTCTTGAATCAAATACAGGGTTTCCATAGAGACCTATTCCTCATAAATGTGCTTCTTCAGGCTTAGAACCTGCTGACACATTGAAGTTAATGCTTCACTGATCTCTATCCAGTTGTCCAGTACTTCTTGAGATTCAGTCTCAACATGGCAATCATCAGCTAGTGATGGTCTGAAGCTATGTCAGCTCCTCTCATGATTCTCACGTCTTCCATTGTCCTTCTGGACTCTTTAGTGATACAACTATGATCGATCCGGTTCTTTGTAGAATAATCGGGGAGACCCATGTAGCTTTGTTTATGTGTTTGTGTGGGAATAATTTGCCTCATGTAACCAATCTGTTGAATGCACATAAATTCGCAAATCTCTCACCATTCTCGTTCCTTTCTCCCAGTCAGTCCTTGCCATCCTGTGATATCTTCATATCCGATGTTGTCCATTCCAACTTTGGCGTTTAGATCTCCCATCACGATGGTCAGGTCGTTTCCCGAGCACTTTGCCAGAATAGATTGTAGCATCTCGTAGAACTGATCTTCATCGTCGTCGTCGTTACTGTCCTGGTGTGTGCATAACATTTGAAAACATTCATCATGATTACTTTCTTCTTTGTTTTGAATGATGCTTTGATGATCCTGGGTCTATGTGATTCCCATCCTATAAGTACTTTACGTGGTTCATTGAACGGCATCAGTCCGACTCCTTGTGTGTGCAAGACACTTTCTCCTTTGTGACCCGAGTACATCAGCATGTTTCCCGAATCTCATCTTTTCTATTCAATTTGAGTCCAATGGGTTTCATTGATTACTAGAACTGCCAAGTTGTATCTGCCCATTTCTGTAGCTATTTTACTGGTTCTCACGATCTCCCACATTGTCCGAATATTCCATGCACCTATGATAACTGTTTCTCTGGTCGTTCGAAGTTGCGTCGGTCTCGTGACTTCCGAAGAATCTCGGCTTTCATCATAAGGCGTCATGATTCTTCTGAATAAAGATCCTTCAACTCGGAGGACAGAGTTTAAGTGTTTTAATTTGTTCATTCTGGTTAGCGTGTTTTTAGCAATGTTGTTGTATACGGGATGCGGCTGCTTACTCGATGCCCAACCCTTCTTGTTTGCCTGGGCTTGGTACCGGCAATAAACCTAGGAGGGCTGTAGGTGGAGTTATGTTACACCGAAGCAATAATTATTTACATAATTAATTTGGCCAGTCGCATGACATCGTGAAAGCATTCTGTACAGTTATTAAACTGTCCTTCATTACATCAGGTCAACGAAGCTTGTCTGCATGAGCTAATAAGACACATGGCCAATTTTAAGGTAGTCTTGTCTCAAGTAGGACGACATGCTGATTTGAACTATTCTACCACTATTAAACGAACAGTAAAGCGACTGTCGCGAATTATACAGTTTAAATGGGTGGGAGCGGTAGTAGATATCTTGAAGTGAGTAATAGAGCCCAATTTCGACGACTGGTTACAGTTTTTAGGAAAGATATTGTCCGTCCGTTACCACCATTGTCTTCAAGCACCAGAAAAATGTACACAAATCCATCTAGTTGCATTTTTAATTGCCTAATTAACAGAGATTAGTTGCAGCATGAATTTCCCGGAAACTCTAATATAGAATCAAACGAATGGGGAGTTCATTCACTCAAAGTATCGAATGAGGATAGCTTGTATGTCACATATTGACTGAAGTTGATGATTCCTAGGTCATTGAAATATGACTCAGTAGGCTGATGTGATCATACTTGCCACTAAGCTCAAATGTCATGAATTTGATTATATACGATTTCATATTTCCACACGACCACGGAATCAGGAAGAAAAACTTCCCAGTACTCATTGGTGTTCAATGATCTTATCCAACTAATATCAAGTTGTGGCATACCTTTCAATCGTCTGTTTTTGTAGCCTTAGTTTGTAGACTGCTTTATTGTTATTGTCTCAGTTCCCATTGTTACGTTTCTTTTGTTGATGCTCAAACAGGTATATACGTCATGTATCGTGAATAGTTCAAAAGACTTGTTATCTGATAAGGAAAACTATTTATTACTATTGTATTTCACCATCATGATCTTCATTATATTGGATAAAATAGTGACATAAAATTGTTTATTTTCCTTTGATTTTTTAAGTCTTTCCTTAACCTGCGATACATCTGATTACACTAAGTCAAATTATGGTAAAAGTTTGTGTGGTTGGTTGTTTGCATGGAGAGTTAGACTGTGTGTACGCCGACATTGCAGAAGCCGAACAACAGGGTCAGTTTAAAACTGACCTAGTTTTATGCTGTGGTGATTTTCAAGCTGTTCGCAATCCCAGTGATTTAACCACAATGAGCGTTCCTTCCAAGTATTACCGCATGGGTGATTTTTGGAGGTATGTAGATGCTTCTGTTTTATTTTTCGTCATTTAAACTGATGTATTTCTTATGTTACAATCACGGGAAAATAATCATTAGATTACTGTCGCTTAACAACTAATATAAAAGAATTAAATTTCATAGCATTGCCCAAGCCAGTAGCTAAGTGGATAACTCGATGGCGTTTCAAGCGAACGGTACGGGGTTGGAGTCCTGTAGTAGGCATCAACTCTGGGTTGCAGGTACATCCAGATGACGAAACGCGCGTCCTGGATTCTACTGCCAGCCACTGCCAATTTCTGCTTATAGTGCCTGTGTCTTTATAATAATATCGAAGCAATCCGCATAGTTTGCACATATGCCAAAAACAGACTGATCGATTGCAGTTTTAAACATCAATGGAAAGATCTAAACAACCAATACAAACAAACGTTGCTTAATTTTTTTAAATGCTTCGTAAAGATTGATGTTGTTCTCTGTCATTAACACCTAAAGTTATCGGTGTACAGTTTTCTTAAATGGAATATATTTCAAGTTTTTAATAAACCTTGTATATCTTACTCACAATATTTAGTCACCTGTGTTTATGATACAGTTATTATTAACCCATAACGGTTTTAACTGAAAAAATATTTATTAGATTGCAAATACTTCAGGTGTTTCATTATATGTCAGATGTTCCCCGATGAATGACATATGTACCTACATACTCCTGTGAAAAGCAGCTCTTATCATGTCCCTCAACAAACGAAAACACGGAAGTACGATATGCCTGATGCTTACCTATTCTGACAACTGATCCATCTTCTATTATCTTTATTATTTCTATTATTTATATCTCTATTGGTTGATATCATTCATGTAGAAATATATATATGTAGGTATGCATGATAGTTTTATTTATAGTATTCAGTGGATAAGGTTTCTACATCATGAGTTTTTTGTGCTTTGCAGTATAAATAATTATATTACCACACTTCAATGCACAATGCATCTAAACTAATTCGCTGTTTAGAATATCATATATCCTTTGTTTCTCTTAGCGATGTTTGTATTGATCCTGAATTCATTTTTGAAGTCACATTAATCGTACTGTGATTTGCTGTAGTCCCTTTGAAGTTGAGTCTTAGTGTTCGCAACACTTGACTCTTAAATATTGAATGGAATCCTAAATGTTCATTTGACCTGCCTCGGTTATACAATTGAGTAATAGCTTTACAGTTGATTGGTTTGAATTTCCAAACTCTATCCCATCTATTTTGGTTTGATTCACCTGGTCGTATCATTAGCCTTCAAACAATAACGTACGTGTGTGTACCTGAAAGTACACTTGGTAGATATTAGTTATTTTAGTAGACTTGAGAAATCCATACTATTCTCCATTCATAATCTTCCTGTTAAGTGAGCTAAAATAAAACATTCCGAAAGTTAGTTCTTCCTACTTAAGAAATACTGTAATTCAGAAGCAATAGGCTATCAGTTCGAATTGCACTTAAGTGTTAGCAAAAGAAATAAATTGAGTCTCTTTTTCGTAATCCTAAACTTTCTTGCTAGTTAAGTAGTTGTATAAATCTAGTGGAATGAAAGAATCACAATTTGTAAATTATAAACTTCCATGTTTGTCTTCATTCCATTATTTTTCAAAGGTATTATGCTGAAGAAAGTAGAGCTCCTGTCTTGACATTATTTGTTGGAGGTAATCATGAAGCATCTGGTTATCTTCAAGAGTTACCATATGGTGGTTGGGTTGCTCCAAACATCTGGTATATGGGTAAGTTCATCTTCAATTGGTAAAGAAAATGCATCTCTGTAAATCGTTAATTTATTTATTCTAATACTTGTTATTTTTATGTACTAGATGTGAATGAACAATTTGCAAATCTAATTATTTTAACGAGTATCTTTACTATAGATGTGTAGCTTAATATGGTTTTCATAAATCGTTATGTAATTATTAAATTGCATAGTGTTGATATTAGTGAATATTTATCTGCAGTGCGCATCAACGATCCCGCTTACGGGATTCAAACCCATGTCTCGCACGCGAACGCTTAACCTCTAAACCACTGTGCCGGCATCCAACGGTGTTAGTGTCTAACTTCAACCAATCCATGAAATTGAGCGACATATCCACCATTGTCTTCAGTGAGTTACTATCTCACAACAGACCTAGTTGAACTCCGCTGGTCACGGCTTCTTACTAGAACTCCAGGAAATATCTCTTGAAGCCAGTCATTAGTGAGGATATGATTATTGTTATCAGGAATGGATTTTGTGGAGATTGTAGTAATTTAATGGTTGAATTCATGAGTCAATTAAAGCTAGATCAACATGAAAAACCTAGAAGCACTTGACGGCCGTTTCGTCCTAGTATGGAACTCCTCACCAGTGCGCATCCACGATCCCGCTTGAAGTATTTTCAGATGGTCTAGCTTTAATTGACTCATGAATTCAATTATCGGGTTACTACAATCTTCACTGAATTCATTTCTGATTATATCTAACTATTTATTCGTGCTTATGTTTACATTCCTTATCAAACAGATTTTTCCACCTTAATTATTACATGTATCTACTCTTTATTATTAATTTGAAATTTTCTTTTCTTTAAATGTTGTTATAACTTATTGCATGGGTGCCCTGTTAGTGTATAACGTGACGATATCGCCAATTAGAGAGCAGTGAATTATCGATCGGATCAATGACGTATAAAACCCATGCGAGCAGTCTAGAGTCCTTATCGGTCCTGCTTCTTGCCTAGCCCAGCCAGTTAAGTCCCGAACACCAATTTAGGCCTCTGCAAAATGAATCATTTATTTCAAACATACTGGGCTTATATACCAACCAGACAGACCACATCATACCATAAAATAGGAAACAACGTTTGTACATGATTTAACCAAAAGTGACTATGGGTGTGGGAGGCAGTAATTAATAGACAGGGCATAATTCAAGAATGGTAGATCATATAACAACAGTTCATAGGTCAAAATAAAGCTCATAATAAGAGAGACATGAATATGAATAGTTTAGTTATTTAATTATTATACGATAAAAATATACGCATAGTATTGGCTCATAAATGGATCCTAAAGTTACCATTCATTATTCTTATCGGGGTATAACAAATGTATTGTCTCTTGTTTAAATATTATACTGAGAAAATAAGTATATAATAATTCTTTTTTTCAGTGAATACATCATTCATTATATCATTTAATATTTTAAAAGTTTTATTTACTCTTAAATACCATTGTGGTGTGGGTTACTTATATCCATATAAGTAGTATATAACTGTGGTCAGTCATAGAATGTATTTCAGTAGAAGATCGAGAAGGAAAGAACAGAAATGGAACGCAATTGGTATGAAAATACATGAACAATGAAATCTGAGACAATGGACTGATATTTGCAAAGGAACAGTCAAATTTGAGACGATGGATTGATATTTTGCAAATTAACTATTTACTATATGGTTCTCAAATTTTATTGAGATACCCTGTAATTTCATGTCAAATACATTCGATTGTCCCTACTCGTGTTTCTGTTCATTACGCTATTTCTATTATAAATTTCTGTTTAATACATTTTACAATTGATATTAATAATTTTCTTTTGAATATTTTAATTTACTACTTGTAGTTTATCAAAACTCTTCTAGTTTTTTTATTTAATTTAATGTTAGTTTTTAAATGGGTATTTATGATTAGTTTTAACTTTTTAATATGTAATAGGTTACTAATAAAAGTATTCAAATCATTTGTGACCATAGTAATGAAGAAAATAATAATTATTATTATTATTGTATCATGGATTTATCAATTTTTCAGGTGTATTTTCTCTTTTCACTTTTATATTGACTAGCTAATTAAAGAGTTTTAAACTATGAGTTCAATAATAAACTGGAGACATTAGTAGCATAAGATGACTTTGGATTTTTCCAACAAGATACAATAACTTGTGTTCATAACTTGATTTATAACATCTGACCGATTGATTTCAACTGTCAACCTTAATTATATATACAGAGCTATTTGGTAAAATACCAACACCATACGTTCAATACTTCATTTGCAGAATGCCCAGCGATTGTCTCAAACTTTGTTGTTCCTTCATTTCCATATCAACCACTGTTTATTCTCCTTCTTTTCTATTCGATCTTAACCTTCTGCTGCCAGGCCTTTCACTTTCGATTGATGTCACGTACTACTTATATCCGTCGACTTAAATAGCACACACTACAGTATTCCATACATCTTAGTTACCTTTTGTTTTAGGTAAATTTATGTTATCTTTAATTGGTCATATATATTGGTAGAGTTTTTTTAAAGTTTTTAGAGCCTAATAACGGATTTAAATACGAAGTCGTGTATAGCATTTAGTCTAGCTTCTAAAATTAAGTTCTTACAGAATCATTATTCCTAAATAGCGTAGGTGTTTGTCCAATATAAGCATTAAAATAATTCCATAGTTTTTCGATTGTTCTATATTTCGCCTTAAGAGGCTAGTACTATGTCTTTTTTCGTTCATATGAATAATGCCGATTCGCCCATGCAGGATTTCGTTCATCTTCACTACCAGTTAGAACATCAGAATGCTAATTGACTATCATGTATTAATGTTATTAAACTGAAAACCCATATGATTATAACATACATATGAAACAAGTCGACAGCATAGCATACATAATAAATTATAGTTTTTACATAATTATGGTCTTTTTGGGACAAAATCTGAGTAATAGGTGCACAATTAATTAAAAGAAATCTAGAAAAAAGAACAACGATAATAACATACTACATATTAGTTATTAGATAAATATATATTTAAAATACATCTGGTAATTCACAAACGAATGGCTTCCAAAATTTCCTATTTCCATTTATTTGCCTATTCGTAACAATCCCGAACACGGATTTTATCTTCCATTTGATCACCTCAGAGGTGTTGCAAACACGTGGTTTCTGTATTATCCTTTTTTTCAAAAGACCTCTAATATAATATAAAAAACGTACGTAAGAAATAACGTTCTTTTTGTTCAGTCGTTTAGATGTGTGAATAATATTTGGAATCAGAGTATGAGTTAACTGTTTTATTTTATGTATGCACTTATGATGAGTTACTGCAAACGCTTGCATTTTCTTGGGATCTTACAAATACATTTTGTTCTGAGCTAATTAGTTTTCTATTTAGTAAATGAGCTGTCTTCGCTGGTTTAGCGTAAACTGTATTTCTTGCGATAATAAGCTTGATTAACTTTATGATTAAAAACATGTTTTATATGAGAATATCGGGTAATCTGGTTTGATTGTTTACATAAAAAGCTGCAGTTGGTCACATATAAATAACCCATGCTACTTATTTTTGTTTATTGTTTCTTAGGATGTTATTTGTATCGTGTTTTCTTATTTAACTTTTATAGGTTATGCTAGTGTTGTCCAATTTGCTGGATTACGTATTGCTGGTTTATCAGGTATATACAAGCAACATGATTATGCCATGTGTCATTATGAACATCCACCATACTCAGAAGCAACAAAACGTTCTGTATATCATTTAAGAAACTTAGAAGTTTTCCGACTTGGACAAATTCGCCGACGTTTAGATATAGTGATGAGTCATGATTGGCCTCGAGGGATATATCATTACGGAAATTTAAATCAATTAACCAGAAGGAAACCTCATTTTCGTAATGAAATCGAGTCAGATTCATTAGGCAGTCCACCCGGTGAACAGTTGTTATGTCGTTTAAAGCCACGATATTGGTTTGCAGCTCATTTGCATTGTAAATTTTCAGCGCTTGTTGGACATTCAGTAGGTTGATCACCTATATTTATTTATGTTTATATTCATTGTTCTAAATAAAGTTCAGTTCAGGGATATTTTTAATCTACAAACTGCCATATTCATTATACTCTGTCCTGAGTTTTGTTGAAAGAAATTTCAGTTTGATTGAGTTTTCTCTCTAATTTCTGTTTCACATGCTACTCAATTTATTAATTACAATTTAAACTGAATCAAAAATACCAGGATAATTTATCTCGATAGCTTTTGTAGTCGTTTTTAAGAATACAGTTTGTAATGTTCATCGGACTAAAAGTGCTAATACTGTATGAATAATTAGACTCAATTACATTAAATCCGTTTGTTGGATTGATAGTTTGTAAGGCTCTTTTTCAGTTTTGGCGTCATATTGAGAATTAAATCCACAAATTTCAATAAAAACTAAAACTCAACCAACAAGACATTATTTAGACTACTTATATGATTCATATTGATTACTAAATCTCCAGTTCAGTCATCTTAGTTCTTTAGGTCTCTCATTTCGACAACTGCACAAAGTTCTCAGCATTTATGTGGAAGAAATGTGGCCATGTTATTTCAATTCCCGTTCAGTTGTGACGATAATCTACCATATCCATACTTTTTAATTGTAACCATCACTTCGTGTTTTGATAGTTTAACTACTGACGAAACTATCAGATTACGATTTCGTTTTGTAAGCATTATCCAGGGCGATCATTCTTCGACTGTGGTGATTAATTTTTTTGAGTAATCTCTCAAATTACAAATGTTGCTGAGTCGAAGTACCACCTTAGATATATGAAGAACAAAAAATGTTTTAAACGAACCACCCAGTTCAATCAGATTATTTAGGATAAATTTTTGTATGAAAGCTCAACGACTTTGAAATCCTTCTGTAAATTTCTTGTTTTTTTCATACTTTGTTTTCGTGTGATAATGCACTACTATTGTTCTGTCTATCTATGAAAATGATTTCTATCGTAAATATGGCATCAAAGCGAACGTATAGAAATTGCCTTTAGAAATCTGTTGTAATGACTGTAAATAGATAGTAATAATATTATTTCTAGTATTGAGAATGGTTTCAATGGTTGGTGTATTATTTATAAGAATTAAGATTTCTTCTTGCATCATATGTAGTCATAGAAATGACTTTTGAATTTCCTGAATTGGAAGAAGATTGTTAGTTTTCTTTCTAACACGGGATGGATCCCTTTTTGTACGAAGCATCGAATTAAAACATCCATGGTCATTTTCTTAACTTTCCATGATAGGTCCATCTTTCTTCTATGTCCATTTTCATCGTTCAAATCAATGATATTCTCATTTAAATAACTTTTGCATATTCTCGTTTACCGTGTTTCTTTTACAGGACTCTAAAACTAATAAATCACGCATCACTCACTTTCTAGCTCTTGATAAGTGTTTACCGAATCGTCACTATTTACAATTCTTAGATATTGAACCTGAACTGAAGTATGATGAAAGTTCAATTAATTCCGATTCTAATTTATCCTTATCTCCACAACTTGGAGATGATCCACTAATTGTCAGTCTTTCTAAATTAAAATCAAACGTCAACGATTCAGAAAAAGACTTAAAATTGAAGGAGCCTAATAACAATGCTAGTTCAAACGATGAAATAAATACCAACTTATATCTTGATCCCGAATGGTTATCTATTTTGAGGTCAACAAATCATTTAATGTCTACTAGCAAAGTCCCCTGTATTCTTCCAGAAAAAGAAACAAGCGAACGGTTAGTGAAATCATTTTATTAATTTTATTGGTGATGTATATGCTGATAATTTACTCATTAGATTCCATTACAGTTCATTTGCTCATACTATCATGACACCAACCAATGACTAATTTCCTTATTATGTTCTTATCTATAATAAAAAGTATTCCAGTCAGTTTATTTCAGCTTTCACTTCGATAAACAAACGTTGAATACTTTGAACCTTATTAGTTATCATCTGTATTCCATTATATATGTAAAGTTCATTAGTTTTATTAGATTGGTTATAAAATGTTGCCCAGCGACTCATCCACCTGTTCTAAAGTCTGTTGTCGACTTATGAATTATTAAACTGTTCACATGATATTAATGTGCTTTTCAAACTGTTGACGTTAAATGTGTTGTAAAATATTAGATCATTATTTATGAGTTTTCATAGGACGTCATTACCTAACTAATCGATTTGTAATCAATGTTTTTTCATTCAGCTGTGATTTTTCCGCTACTGATGATGAAATTCAGGCTTTGTATGACCCTTTTGGTGGAGATTTTCAAGTTCCTGACAACTTCGAACGTACTGCTGCAATTCACAAACCGAATGAAACTGATCATATGAATACAAAGACTACGTCTACGCCAATTAGTTTGGTTCAACAAGCAAATGCTTTAAGTAAAGAACAACAACTTTTTTCAAATCCACAAACAGAACTTATTTGTGCTATGCTTGATTTAATAAACCCTAATGCACTCTTTCTTGGCAAACAATCATACAGTTTGCTAGAATTATCAGCACAGTTACAATCTAAGAAGGATGAAGAGGAGGATGACGATGAGGTTGAGGAAAATCCAGAAGAAAATATTTGTGAAGATGATGTGAAAAATGACGAAAATCAACTTGGTGTTAATGAATATCCATTAGATGTAAACACTAGCTGGATCACTTCAGACTCATTCGTCAAAGAGAGTTTTACAGAGTATGATCCGATGAATAGCACTTTTGTATCAAATACTAACCAATCTAGTCATAATCCACTTAGCAATACAAATCTTTATGATAGTGTTGTAAGTCAAAATCCTGAAGAATTGGTATTAGATGATATTGAAGATAATGATGATGAATTTCCCAATGAGTCTCACTCTTTAAATGTCTCTCAATACAACGCTAGTTATTCTCAGTTCACAGATTTAAATAAATCAGAGCAAGTGTACATTCCGCAACTTTTGCCTGATTCCTAATTATTTAATCGACAAAATACATTATTTTATTTTTAAATTACATACAGGGTGTTTCTTTAACTTTTTCCGAAAAGTAATTTCATATTTTATGGGAGTTCCAACTTGTAAATGTCTTTTAATCCCTAAATGTAACAGTTTTGTATACCTTAAAGCTAAAATCTCAACCATATTCATTGTCGTATGTTGTAAATGGTGCAAATATGTTTTGAACAGAAACTTTGTTGTATTATTCTTGGGAGTATACTATTCACGGTTTTCAGGAACAGTGTTGCATTGCATTTTTGAAATTCAGCGTCATTAGTAGGATTTCCATTGATCTTTTATTCTCTCTTTGCTAGGAAAAGTTACAAGTGTAACATAAGTTTATTCACAGGACATGGTGCGTGATATCCAGCAGATATGCAGTAGTTACTTTATGTTTTCAGTATTGGTGTATTTGAAAAAATAGAATTTAAAAACTTCCGCTAGTTATTTCAAATACGAAAACACAAACAGATTTGTCGGAAACGGGACAACACAACTGTCCTAAAACTTTCTATAATTACCTAGTTGTCCACAAGTAAGCAATGTTTTATCAAGTTAGACCAATAAAAGACCAGTCGGAATTTGCAATCTGTTCGTAGCTATGTAATTATGGTTGGATTGTAGGATTACTTATTTCACTTAAGTTGAACTCTGAATAAGTTTTAAGCAACTGTGACGGGATATTTCGTAACAGCAATGTGCAAACAGCCAGTTACCTAACCCACCAGCTTGATTAGTGGCTTCATATTTGGTGGATGGTAGATGTTGATAACATTCTCGTTACTAAGTTGCTGCATGCATTTAAACAGCTTTACTGTTTAATACGTCGTACTACAGCACTTCTCTTGATCGATGTTGTGTATGATATTCTTCTAGTCAAAAATCTCACCTTTTCTTATTCTCACTATCTTAGAAATCATATTTTGATTATTGTTGCATATTTTTGTTCATAATAAAACTTCTTTTCTTCAAGATTTTATGATATATTGCAGTATTACAACGTATAAGTGACATGACGGATGTTTTTGAAATATTTTTCTCTTGAGGCACACGAGACTAGTCACGCTATGCCAGATCCAGGATTCACGACCCAGCATAGTGAACCAGTCTAACACTAGATAATACTTTATTCAACACAGTTACAAGCAGTCACTTTCGGTGAGCCCAGAGTGGAAGTCAATAGGAAAAAAGGGAATCACATTTAAGAATAATTTGTCCGACCGGCCATTTTTTTAAAAAAAAAAACCCACCCCATAAAAAAAATTTTGCACCCCCAAATTACAATATTTCTCATCCCGTGTTTCGTCCAATGAAATGGCTAGTTTCAAAAATTAGATTTAATTGGTTAGTTATGTCTTGAAAATTGTTATAAATTATCAGTACTTGTCGACGAAGCACAATTTCAATCGTCATTATGGAACAGAGTAAAGTGCCGAGTACAAGCGCTGGTGTTTCTCACGTAACGGAAATGGAGGAAGTCTTTTTGACTACCTTGTTTCTGGTTGCGTTTCCATCGGTTGAAGCGTTAAAGACCACTATCACAAATTTTGAAAGATCGACTTACAGTCATTATGTAGTGAGAGATTCGCATATTGGCAGAGATCAAAAATCGTACATTAAATTTGTGTGTTGGCGAAATGGGCGTATAAGATCTAGCGGTTCGTCACAACGTATTAGACGGAGGAGGTAATTTGGTAAATTGTTCTATAATTTTTTTAACGAAGGGCTTCTATGAACACCCAATGTCCGGCCTTTATGTTTTGTAAGATTATAGACGGCTACTGGACTGTTGTACGTGGGAATGTACATCACAATCACGAGTGCAATTCCCTGAGGTACCAAGGTAATTCATGGGTGCGCAGGTTAACGGGTGGGGAGTTCGAAACTGCGAGACCGCTGCTGATTTCTGGTTCCGCTGCATTCCACATAAAGAATTTTGCTTACCAATCTTATGGGAAATGTCTGACCGATCAAGATGTCTGTTGTTTGGGTTTTCTGTAGATGTGAAGCGATGTTTCATACCTTCTGTGCCTACGACCCATCGCCGAACGTACGAGCAGTGCACTGTCCTATCTGTGGCGCCATTACAAACTAATAGTGACGACGTCCGACCGCGAGAACGAGTAAAGGCCCTTTTCAGGGCCACCCACAATTTGATTTCCATTGTTTTTTATCTACTACTTTTCCGCCGCAAAGGTCAAGTGATTAAGCACTTATTAATGTCTCATGAATTTAGATATCCCTTAGAGATTAATAATGGAAAAGCGATTATCGCTCATGTATTCGTAAACTTGTTTCTAACGTTTATTAGATACGAAGGTTAAGAAAACTTAGACAAGATTTTATTTAAAATAATGTGATTACTGTTCATGTTTTAGTAACACTTTTGTAAACTATCTAATAATAGTACATTTTAGTCAATTTTAATAGGAATATTGCAATATAGTGAAAATTCTAATTTGCTCTTTAGGTCAATAAGTTTATGAGAACATTTATTAGTGATTATCATTACGAAGATAAATGTGATTAAAGCTCATAGAGAAGTAAACATGATGAAGAAAATTAACTTTTTTATGAAGTACGTCTGATCGTAAACTAAGCCTCCATTGTTATTCATAACTACTGATTATATCACCGTATTCATTTGCACAGCTCTTTAACAATCACATTGTAGCACTTGAAAATTCTCATAAATTATTCAAGAATGATAAATAAATTAGCAAACAATCGTTTTCATTAACTTCATCATCACACTATACAGTTATTAGTCCATAATTTTAATATTTTATAAAGTCCAAAAATAAGGCATGGCATTAATGAACTTGACAATGTAATGTGTTAACAATGGTTAACGTTTACATCTGTAACGATATATATATTTATATATATACTTACAAATTGTAATATTTTCTCATTAGAAAGGTCATTCAATAAAGGTCTGGATTATTTGCAGTAAAGTGTTCAGTCACTATAAGTGACTAAGCATTATAGGAAAATTGAAAATGCAAAAAAATTTGTGTCAATGAAATACATAGTACGAGAATTGAATCTTGTCAATTGACATAATAATAATAATAATAATAATAATAATAATAATAATAATAATAATAATAATAATAATAATAATAATAAGGAAAATAAATAATAATAACATTGTAAATGTTCATTGATACAGTTGACCTTATTCATATTTATACGTTTAAAGTCGATAGATATTTGTTGAGTCAGACGACGTAGGCTTGTTCATTTACACTTCATGAAACTGATATTTCAAATGCTTGTCAAAAATGGTTACATTCATAATGTCTAGATAATTCAGGTTTCATATTACGGCGGTTAACAATATTCACACATGACTGATTAAACACACTAGTTTTTATTACGACCAAAAAATTAATTTTAAAATACAGAACTACAAATAATTTACAAGTGAAAATAATGAACCGTTTCAATGGATTTCCAAATTAACCGCATTGAAATCTAACGTTGTCTAATTCTCATTATGAATGACCATTTACAAAATAATCGTTTACTAAATATTAAGTGTCTATTTCGGAAAATTTATTACTACTTTCATATACTGTCTAAGTCAGTTCATTAAATGATGGTCTATGATTGCTTCACCTGAATTATACATATTGCAACCAGTAAGTTATCATAATGATTTATTGATATGTTGATTTCTTTTTCCCATTAACACACCATGTGTTACAAAAAAACCTGTGCACACACTTTGGTGATAATTTGTTTATTAATTTGGTATTAAATATTTGACTACTGACCTCATTCAGTAATCACTATTATCAAATATTCAAACCGGTTTTCGGTGGCTTTTTCCCAAAAACTTTCTTTTACTGAGATACATATAATTATTCGTGTTCAGATAATTAACGACTTCAATTCAAGGTATACTTGATCGGAAAACAAAAATTGATCCCAATACACATTCACTAACAGTAGGATTGCACGGTAATGCAATTAAGTTGGTGTCTTTTTCTTCAAAAGTCTAAATTTTTTTCAAGACTAAGATTACACAAAAAAAATTATTCATTATCATTAAATTTCAAATGTCAAAAATGAAAATTCTGACATCCAATCACAGCTCCAGATGCGATTTCGATTTCAACTAATCAGATTACAAAGATGAACCGTTTACGACCAATCAAAAAATTATTAAAGGTAACAAAATGTTTGTTCATTATCACTTGAGCACACACTTGCAAAACAAGTCCACCAATCAACGATACCTAAATTTTTCATTCACACCCCACAATTTTTTTAAAATGGGTGGTAGGGAATCATATTGGCCGGTCACTTAATGTCAACCTATATAGCTATTTCTATCGAGTGACCACTGTTAATAAATTGAGTGAAAAAAAGCTCCGCTTGGCTACTGCCAATCCCAAGCCCGAATACAACAGGAGGGTTGGGCATCGAGTAAGCAGCCGCATCCCGTATACAACAACATTGCTAAAAACACGCTAACCAGAATGAACAAATTAAAACACTTAAACTCTGTCCTCCGAGTTGAAGGATCTTTATTCAGAAGAATCATGACGCCTTATGATGAAAGCCGAGATTCTTCGGAAGTCACGAGACCGACGCAACTTCGAACGACCAGAGAAACAGTTATCATAGGTGCATGGAATATTCGGACAATGTGGGAGATCGTGAGAACCAGTAAAATAGCTACAGAAATGGGCAGATACAACTTGGCAGTTCTAGTAATCAATGAAACCCATTGGACTCAAATTGAATAGAAAAGATGAGATTCGGGAAACATGCTGATGTACTCGGGTCACAAAGGAGAAAGTGTCTTGCACACACAAGGAGTCGGACTGATGCCGTTCAATGAACCACGTAAAGTACTTATAGGATGGGAATCACAAAGACCCAGGATCATCAAAGCATCATTCAAAACAAAGAAGAAAGTAATCATGATGAATGTTTTCAAATGTTATGCACACACCAGGACA